CCCCCGGCTCCGGCCCCCGGCCCCAGCACTCGCTCTCCTCCTCTCACGGAAAGGTCGCGGCCTGTGGCCCTGCGGGCAGCCGTGCCGAGATGAACCCCAGCGCCCCCAGCTACCCCATGGCCTCGCTCTACGTGGGGGACCTACACCCCGACGTGACCGAGGCGATGCTCTACGAGAAGTTCAGCCCGGCCGGGCCCATCCTCTCCATCCGGGTCTGCAGGGACATGATCACCCGCCGCTCCTTGGGCTACGCGTATGTGAACTTCCAGCAGCCGGCGGACGGTGAGAGCCGGGCCCGGCGGGCGGGCGGGCGGCCATGAGGCGCAGGCGGCGGCGGGCTGGCTAGGCCGACGGGCCCGGGGGAGGGGGGCGGGAGGGCATGTCAGCCCCCCACGGCCGGCGGGGAGACGCTCGGGCGCCGGGACCCCCGCTCCCGGTGCCCGCGGGGACCCGCGCTGCCGGCAGCCGCACGCCTGGCCACTTCCTCCTTTGCGACCATTTTCTCGGCCTCAGCCGCTCTCAAACTTTAGGGTGATGACGCGCCGGGAGGTTGGGTGAGATTGGGTTCTTCCACCGCGCTCCCGCCAGTAGCTGCGGGATTCTGGGGCGTCGGGAGTCGAGTCCCCTTCTCCGGTAATAGGTGAAGGCGCTCCCACCACCCGGGCTCTTGCCGGCGCCCCAGGACCCGCAGGAAGTGCGATTCGGTGCTCGAAAAATACCACGTGTTGAACCCTGTAACCTCACAGGCCCGAGGCCTGTTTCTGCTACTGGCCCAATCGCCTGGGGGAGCCACAGGGCCTTAGAATAAAGTTAATTTGGTGATGTGGTGGTCCTTGGGTTTCTGAATCCGTTCTTAATCACTTGTCAGTGACCGGTGGCTCTAGAGATGTAAATTACCAGATGAGACACGCGTTTGGGGGTTTCCCCGAGTTCAAGCATTTCTCACTCTAATACGAACAGCAGAATGGTAGAAGCAGAGGTTGCGGAGTATGGCCCTTTTGAAATCAACTGTTTGCTCAAGCAGTGTGGGTCATTTTGAATGTTTTATCCAAATTAGTTTCATAATACTGGTAATTTGTTCAGAATGTTTTTTTCTTCCTGTGCTTTTGAGAGGTTTTCCTTAAAACGTATTCACCAATTTTGGCTGTGAACTGTTTACTTACAAGTGTAATGTGGACTGGACCATTATACTTAGTAGCATTCAGGTAGTAAAGGTTTGTTTTTTAAAGTGGTCCAGAATATCCGTACATTATGGGAAATTGCACAAAATAACAGATGAGAATAAGATTGAAATTCATGGAGAGAAATGTGGCTAACCTTGTATTTTTATTTTGAAGTTAAACCATTCACAAAAACATTTTGGCAAACCGATAAGATAATGTGGCGTGGTGATGAGTTACCAGGATTTTCTTTCATATCTGGATGTATGACTTCTAAAAGTTGACTTCTAAAAGTCAGGTTCAGTTGACTTTATGGCCCAATTTGTTTTTTTTTCCCCAAGCTGCTTGGATACATGTTAAGTAATACAAATTACAAGGAGTTGGCTTTTAAATTTTTATTTTATTCACTCAGAACTGAAGTTACTTAATGATCAGCTGTTTACCAAGTGAAGGTAATAGCGAGATTTGAGGTAGGCATATTATGGAGTGACCCAGAGCCAGAAGTTGTAAAACTGCACTGTAGCTTTCCTGCCCTTTGGCTCTGTAAGCAGGAGCTCCAAATACCCCTCCATAACAATTCTTCCCGACCCTGGACAAGGTTTGCCACTGAATGAAAGATAAAAATTAGGGGAAATAACTTTGGGGCAGGTAATCACAATTTAGAGTCCATAGAGAAAACTTGAACAAACCCTAAAGACCATAAAATGTAAGTTTTGGAAATGGCTGTTACTTGGTCTCAGTTTAACAATTTTAAAACAAAAAAACCCACTTTTTAGAATTTCTTGTGATTTGAAAAGTTGAACTTCAGGTTACCATGGTTACAGTACACTGCCTGTATTCTCAGTCTATTCCATAGACCAGTACCGTAACTGCTCAAATGAAAATAGCATTTTTTCATCTTCCATTTATTTGGTTTCAGTACAAATTACCATCTTTCCAGTTATTCCAGTGGTTTTCTCTTTCTTTTCCTATTTACTGCAACACTGATGAACTTGTAGAATAGCTTCCAAAAGTGACCAGTTTCCAATTTAACAGGAAGAGGTGACTCATTCGAAAGACGCTCAAGCAAAGTCAGCTAAAAAACTAGGGGAGCTGAGTAGGTGTGGTCAATTGATAATGAGCTGACAGCTGATTGTCACTATCTTCTAGAAACTGGAGCTTTCATTTATAAAAAGAAGTGGCCGGAAAATTTGTCCTCTCAATAATTTTACAGTTACATTGGCATGGAATTTGTAGAAACTGGTGTTTCAGGACTTCAGATGGACTATGTTTTTTCTTTTAGGATTAATTTTTTTTTTTACTTAGAATACATTTTTCCGTGGAAAGTCTCGATAAATGCTTCATGGTAGAGGTGGACATAATTCAGTCCTTCAAAGACCCTGAGATCATAGGGTAGATTTTGAAATATTCTAGCACTATCTAGGAATAATGGATTAAATGATTAATAAATCGGTGACTAAAGAAAGAATTGGTTTTATGTGTCAAAGTGTTAGTGAATTGTGAATATTGTAGACCTGGTATTCCAAAAATTCTGTATTCAGTATAGAGCTAAGTATGCCCAACATCGGATTAGTTTTTGAAAGATGGATTCAAATCTGGATCTGAATGGATGTAGCTTTTTTTTTTTTTTAATATGCCAATAGGAGGTTGGGCCATGATTTCCTGAAATCACACCTACCCCCCATCCAGGAATTTTTTTTTTTTTTGATGGACTAATTTTTATATAATATTGGCTGTGGTAAGCAACGAAAAGATTGATTTTGACAATAAGGGAAGGCATTGAAATGTTTGAAAATCTAAAAACTGTTGAGTCTGGATAATTTATAATTGCCTAATATCTTTTATATTGCTTATTAAGTAGATTGTATGCGGAGGTATCGTGGTTTTATATTGAGTAGGAACAAAAAGGTGATTTTAAATTATGGCAGTTAAAAATTGTTTCAGAAATACCTTATTAGTGATAGGTCATCTAGTAACATGGGAGATGGGAAATTTCTGATAATTCTTTTTTTTGCCTTATACAATTTAAATCTAGACCAGTGTGAGGTAAGGTCCAGCCATCTTGAAGTTTAAAGAAGTAGAGGCACTGCCCCCCCCCACAATGATTTATATAATTTTTAGTAGCCTGAAAATGTTTCGAAGTAATATTCACTCTGAACATGTCTTTCCTGCAGCGGAGCGTGCTTTGGACACCATGAATTTTGATGTTATAAAGGGCAAGCCAGTACGCATCATGTGGTCTCAGCGTGATCCATCACTTCGCAAAAGTGGAGTGGGCAACATATTCATTAAAAATTTGGACAAATCCATTGATAATAAAGCACTGTATGATACATTTTCTGCTTTTGGTAACATCCTTTCATGTAAGGTAAGCCAAACTGACAGGTAAACATTTACAGTGTTTTAGCTTCTCGTAGTTTATTCCTTAAAATTGCAACCATACTACATAGGTAGCTTTATTTCCCAAATAACCCGGGCTAGGAGGCTGACAAGTTCTCTCTGAACACTGGGGGAAAAAATGCTAAATCAATAGCAAGTAATGAAAAATTGGTATCCGTTTTTCCCTAGGTGGTTTGTGATGAAAATGGTTCCAAAGGTTATGGATTTGTACATTTTGAGACACAGGAAGCAGCTGAAAGAGCTATTGAAAAAATGAATGGGATGCTTCTAAATGATCGCAAAGTGTAAGTATAAATAGTTAATCATATTTCAAATCTGTTTTTAATAGTTCAGTTCATCTTACAAGTTAGTATGTTTGTGTTCTTAAAGAGCTAGAGCTGGAGTGAAAGTTAATAAACCACATCTTGGTAGGTTTTGTAATTCTCTTTTCTGATTTGTTGTAACATACAAATAACGGTGAATTAATGTGATTGGTCAGCATTCAAGCCAAAAAGAAAATGAAGATAGGTATACTGAGATAAGAAACTTTTTCAGAATAAGTGCATAGTGAAAAAACTAGGAATCCAAACAGAAAATCATAATTCCTGAGGTGATCATTGACCCATTTTACATTTGAGGAAACTGAGGCTGAAATAATTTGCCTGTGTTAACCTGCTGGTTTGACAGATGAGCTGGGATACAAACCCAGTGGTCTAAATTCAGAGCTTAAGTTGGCTCTTTACTTGGCCTTACTACTACAATTTATTGATGAAGTTTAAAGGTTTGGGTTTTGGGGGGCTTTTTGGTTTGTTTTTTTTAACCTTGTGACCCCCCCACCCATCTAAAGTGGAATTAAACCAGAAATCTTCATAACTAATCATTCCTGAAAATAAACTTGTTTTTAAAAGTTGCTAACTTTTTATACAATGGCACTGATAAAACCTCTGAGACTATTTTTGCTGCAGGTTAAAATTGCAGATTTTGTGAGCCCAAAGAAATTACATCTTAAATTTTTTATCTTCAACGCCAGTCGATTTTGTTTAATTATCCAGGCAAATTCAACTGTAAGGCCATACTGTAAATGATCTGAGTTCACATTGCTGTGTAAACTGCAGTGATAGCATGCATATTGGGTCTGGTTGTTCTTAGAACACCTTAAACTGCATCACTCTTAAAATGTGGTCACCTCGTCAAGTGGTATGGTCAGTCTGTACATGAAGGGATCATGCACGTGATGCACATGGTGTTACCTATTTGAATTTTGTGTCCCTGCATGATTAAGGAAAGACTTTGTAAGGTGTAAAGAACCCGTATAAGTCTAAGAAACCAGCAGTTGCTCGATATGAACAATTTACAAAGGCTAACTCTTAGAAGTAGTGCATCATTATTTATTTTTGAAGTAGAACATCTTTAAATGAGAGAAATATTTAGCATCATTAGTATTGGAAGATAAAAATCTTACAGTTTGTCCACATGCTTGGGGGGGGTGGGAAGAAGAATGTCCAGCATCGGTGGGGGTCTAGATTCAATAATTTATTGCTCTTTTGAGTGTGAAGTAATCCTTTTGGAAAACCGTTTGTGTATGTAAACTTAAGGTCACTTATAGGCTTTTTGAACTACTGCAATTGCTGCAAATCTATCCTAAGAAATAACAGTGAGGCTCATTAAGTTCCAGCATTGTTTACAAAAGCAGAAAGTTGTGATGTCCTCAGTGGAGTATTATGCTCCTGTTGGGAGTGTTTGTAAAACTGATAGCAAGGAGAAGCACTGCCGAATGAGTGGGGTGGGGAAGGTTAAGGAACAAAGTCACAGGTATGTCCATTAAAACAAAAGGACTTAGGGACTAAGTCATGATTTGGGTGGTATTAATGGGAGATGGCTTTTTACTTCGGTGTCTATTACAATATTCTTTAAGGACATGCCCTACTTTTAGGGAAAACTAAAATTTTAAAACATTCAGTCGATAATGCTGCAAAGAAAATTTGCAAAGGTGTTAGGTGTTAAGAGTACAAAATTCAGAAGTATAAATTTTCCATTTTAGGAGATTACAAAAAATGCGCAGGAGCCACTTGGAAATAGCATTGACGAAAGGTTTTAGGTCTTTTCCTTGGTGTGGTGCATGTGTTACCCCCCACTCCTTTATATTGCTAGGCATGATCTCTTTAACCCTGGGTTAGCTAGAAGGAAGGGAGAGGAGTGTGTATGAAGAAAAATGCTTCTTTTTTTATTGTAGTTAAGAGGTTTGTTCTTTTATGCTTCCATTTTTTTTTCACTTAAGGCACTTCTTGTTTTATCGTGTGCTCTTTATTAGAGATTCTGAAATTATCAGTAACAATTACAAAATCAACCATCAGGCTTAATTAATCTGAACTTAATAAAATAGAACCTAATTTTATAGTCCTTACATATTTTATTAGATTTGTTGGACGATTTAAGTCTCGTAAAGAACGAGAAGCAGAACTCGGAGCTAGGGCAAAAGAGTTCACCAATGTTTACATCAAGAATTTTGGAGAAGATATGGATGATGAGCGCCTTAAGGATCTCTTTGGCAAGTTTGGTAATGTGTCTGAATTAAATTTTTACACTCAAAGTTCTGAGTAATTGCTCAACATTAGTTTTGGCTAATACTTTATACTAAAGTAAATGAAATGAAACTTAATATGGTACTTAAAAATAACTGTCATTATGTGGATCAAACTACTGATAGTCCATTATACTACAAGGTAGTATATATAAATAAAGGTTAATAGTGTTGTTATTAGCACAGTAAGGTGTGACTGCATAATTGGAACAGAGTTTAAAAGGTTATGCTACAGTAAGAAGTTGTGCTGGATTTATGCACGTACAGATCCCATCTCATCAGAGGCATGCACACGACACAGCCAACTTAGGTCAGAATGCAGTCCTTAGTTAGGGGACAGGAAAGCTGGCCAGCTTTAGGGTATTTGGCCAGTCTTAAAAGCCTCGTGTTTGAGCAATTTGAAACCATGACATTCAAAGACAAAGCCAGAGATCCTGATTTTCCCGTGATATCTCCTTGGGATGGCCTTCTGAATCCATGGGATCTTAAACTATTTGTTCCTTGCATTTCAAAATTAACTTCATTAAATTTTAAGTCAGCGAAGTGTAACCAGCCTCACTTTAGATAGTTGTGTGACTGATCAGAGGATGGACTTTAAATTGAATGCTTTTGCAGGTGATTTGCTTTTCCTTATCATTTGTTGAACTTATTAAATAGGTGGCTTTTTTTTTTTGAGCACCTCAAATGATACAGAATTAGGAAATGTAATTTTTTATTGCCGATCTAGCATACCACATTGAACCCACTGCTCCTTTGAGCAAAAAACTTGTCCTTTTGCACAAAGGTAAATTGTGTCTTGCATCTTTAAATTCTCTTTAGTGAATGGTTTTGTATGTTTCATCTGTCTTTTTTAATTAGAAGCTGTTTCTTAAGTTGGATATTATTAACCAGTTATGCCAAATTAATGTGAGGTGACCACCAATACGTAAATTTGTCAAATAATTTTCTTGGCTATTTCTCAAAGCAGAGATTGGAAGTACAGCATTAGGACCAGAGGTACCTTAAAGGAAACAATCTACCTGTGCCCGTAGCTGTTCCATATTCTCTGTAATCAGATGTGATTTTAAACCTTTTTTTGGCCCCATCTCCCAGGCTGAGATAACACCCACCTCAGTTAAGTGTCTTTCACTTGGGCGGACGGGGGCCATGTGTCATCAAAAATGTGCCACCTTCTCCCAAGTGATTTCTGTCTTTCCAAAGGTTCCTGTATTCCCTCCACTCCCAGTTGAAAGTCAAGTGGGCCAAGGGTTGAGAAAAACCAGTTGTTGGCTTAAAAAAAAAAAAAAGCAAATCTGTTTTGAACAAAATAAAATCTCTCTCATTTACAATTGCCTAAAACATAACCTCCTTAAATGGAAGGAGGAATGAGTGTTTCAGGGACTAGAGTACTTAGCTTCTTAGTACAAATAAAAGGTCTTTGAAGAGACTTTTTTTTTTTTAATTTTTATTTTTTTCATGGCTTTGTTTTTGTGTGTTGAAATTTGAAATGTATAAATGTGTGAAATACCTTTGAATCATCTAAAAACTTTTTTTAGGACCTGCCTTAAGTGTGAAAGTAATGACTGATGAAAGTGGAAAATCCAAAGGTTTTGGATTTGTAAGCTTCGAAAGGCATGAAGATGCACAGAAAGTAAGACTCAAATATACTAACTAAAGACAGTGTGGGTTTCCCGTATTTTGTAGTAAGAAGGGAGATGACACGTTTCCTTGCTCTGCTGCTGAAATTTACATGCGTTCTGGTGGCTATTTTACATGTATTGTTTTCAGTTACTTGTATTTGATTAGTTTTGAGGGTATAAATTGGGAACTGATATTTCCCCAAACAAAACTTAGTTTTTGTGACAGATCCATCCACCTTTAGCTTTCATAACCTGACATTTTCCGTATTGTTAAACAACTTCTTTCTCCGTCGCAAGTTAGTAATTAAAGTTTTTGTGATTTCTGTAAGGCTGTGGATGAGATGAACGGGAAGGAGCTCAATGGAAAACAAATTTACGTTGGTCGAGCTCAGAAAAAAGTGGAACGGCAGACGGAACTTAAGCGCAAATTTGAACAGATGAAGCAAGATAGGATCACCAGATACCAGGTTCATTTTTAATTGACAAGCAAAATAAGACAGGGATGAGCAAACCTAGTTTACGTTCATGTCAGTTACTGCCAGGTAACTGGAGGGTTTGAGAGGGGGGAAGGGAGAAGAAACGTGGGATAAAATAGTAGGAAGTGTGCTTCAGTACCACTGTGGTTTTCTTTTTTCTTTTCCTTCAGTTCTCTTTTCTTTTTTTTAGGGTGTTAACCTTTATGTGAAAAATCTTGATGATGGTATTGATGATGAACGTCTCCGGAAAGAGTTTTCTCCTTTTGGTACAATCACTAGTGCAAAGGTAAAGCATAGGGATACTTTTTTACCATTTAGGGAAAATCCATGCATGTGGATATGTATGTATAAATTTCACATTAATACACCTACTGGAATTTTTATCTTACTTTGTAAATGAATAGTCAAATAGGGGGTTTTTTTCTTCCAAAAAAAAACAGGCTTTCATTTTTCTGGAAATCAGGTTTCTGTCTCATTGCTTCAAAAATATATTCAAATTTGAAGTAGATGTAGCCTTGATGGTTTATTTTTTGCAGGTGGTGAGTTCTGAATGCTTCCTGGGGAAGGCTACATTTGTTGACCATAGTTCATGATTGATCCTCACATAATTAATGCATGTAGTTTATATACTCTGTTCAACTCGTTATTTTCCTGGTTAAAGAAGGCAGTTTAGGGGCACCGGGACCTTTGTGGCTCAGTCGGTTAAGCGCCTGACTCTTGATTTCTGCTCAGGTTGTGATTTCATGGTTCACGGGGTTGAGCCCCCTCACCACGCTCCACACTGACAGCACGGAGCCTGCCTAGGACTCTCTCTCCCTTCCTCTGCACACATGCCTTCTCAGTCTCTAAATATCTTTTTAAAAGCAATTTATCAGGAAACTATAATTGTTACAGGGGAAATATGTATTCATTAACACTTCATTCTGGGGAGTCCAGTTTCAAGCCCCCAAGCAGTAAAGATTGATGTACTTGAACTCAGAAATTAAGAATTACAGCAATATGTAATATGTGGTTTTAATCTAAATTCCGGGATTTTAAGAACCTCTGCTCCAGGTGTTTTTTTTCTGATGTCCAGTGATCCAAGAATTCCTCCGTGTGTAAAGTTCTGTGCATCTGTATTTTGGGATATAGGAGGAGTGTCAAAAACTTAGATTGGTTGTCTTTTGATTTAGAGAGAATTTTATGTCAGTTTTGGTTTATAGTGCAAATATTCTCTCCAGTCTTTCACTTAGGACTTTGGGTTTTTTGTCATCTTGTTTTCCCTATAGTTTACATTTTATGTTCAGAATCTGGCAATTTGATTTTTCAGTGTGACATGAATTAAGAGTTGTGACTTAACTCTTCTCATTTCTCTCAATGTACCACGTATTGAATAACGCAAGGTCCATTTTTTCATTATTTTAAAATGTTAATCTTAACACACTAAATTCCCATAATTGCATGGATAGGTTTCAGGATCTTGTTTTAGGTAGAATTGACATATATTAAGTATACAACATAATGACGATGTTTGTGTATGTTGTGAAACGGTCATAATAAATCTAGTTAATATTTGTCACTATACATAATTCTTTTTCCTCTCATGATGAGAACTTTTGAGATCTACTCTCAGGAACTTTCAAATGTGTAACATAGAACTATTGACTATAGTCCCCCATGCTGTACATTAATTGCATCCCCTGGACTTATTTTATAGCTGGGAATTTATACTTTTTAAAACCTCTTCGTTTCATTTCCTCTACCCCCACCTCTCTGCTTCCAGCAGCCATGAGCTCAGTTTTTTTGTTTGTTTCTTGGTGTTTTGCTTTTTATTCCCCTTACGTGTGAGATCCTTGGACTGTGTTCCTACGCTACCCCATACTGCTCAATGTAGTTGTAGAACGTGTTTATTGCTGGGCTAAGGAGGAGTTCTTTGCGTCTCCTCGTTGCTCCTTTAAATGATCTTTGCAGTGTTTGGAAGCTTTCTTCTAGCCAATATTTATGGCCCTTTTGGTCTTGAATGTGAAATTTTTATTTGAAATTGTGAATTGTGGCTATTTCTAAGATTCAGCTGCTTCTCCACCCCACCCAAAGAATAGTAAAGCATGTTGTCCCTTGAATTGCTGAGTCAAATGTTAATGATGCTAGAGTTAAATTTAGCAGGCCCTGAATGTATTACTCAGATATTTAAACCTTAATATTTAAGGTCTAATACTTAATTGACTATCTAAAATCCTACCGCATTTGCTGTCCTACCTCCACCTCTTTATTTCCTGTTTTGTTTGGCTGAGGTGTGCCACGCGTGTAGCTTGCCCTGAATATTTAGGTATTAAGGAAACATTGTAGAAAACAAAGCATTAACAGTGTTTACTTGAGTCAGTAGCTGTAATTGACAAGTTAGTAATAATGCTTTTTTCTTAGCGTCCTGTTCTATCCTTGAATTAACTTTTTCTTAAATCTTTTTGTCTTCTAATAGGTCATGATGGAGGGTGGTCGCAGCAAAGGGTTTGGTTTTGTATGTTTCTCCTCCCCAGAAGAAGCCACAAAAGCAGTTACAGAAATGAATGGTAGAATTGTGGCCACCAAGCCATTGTATGTAGCTTTAGCTCAGCGCAAAGAAGAGCGCCAGGCTCACCTCACTAACCAGTATATGCAGAGAATGGCAAGTGTCCGAGCTGTGCCCAATCCTGTAATCAACCCCTACCAGCCAGCACCTCCTTCAGGTTACTTCATGGCAGCTATCCCACAGGTAAGTTTCAGAAGAGAACAAAAACCTAATGCAGGTTTTCATATTTGGTCACGTTTAGTGTCTTTGCCCTAAATAAAGGCATGTGAATTACGATTACGTTTGAAAAAAAATGCTTAGAGCGTAAGGACTTGCTGACTGTTTATTATAGAGTGTCGAGCTCGCTGCGTCACTTGCTCGCTTCTTTACCGGACGCGTGTGTTTGCTTTCTGCAGACTCAGAACCGTGCTGCGTACTACCCTCCTAGCCAGATTGCTCAACTCAGACCAAGTCCTCGCTGGACTGCTCAGGGTGCCAGACCTCATCGTAAGCCTTTTGTTTTTAAGTATGGTGGTGAATTGTTTGGACTAAAAATGTGAGACAAATAAGCTGTTCTGTTTCAATGGTATATTGACTTTTTTTATAATTTAGGGTTATGGGTGTTCATTTTGGGGATCCTAGCGTTTTTTGTTTCTTGTTTTTTTAAGCAAAATCCTAAAATGCCTCCCCCTTCCTGTCTTACGGAGGCAGTAAATTCTGTGCTGATTTGATTTTCCTTTATGACAAGTTTGGGAATGGATCCAACTCTTAATTTCACATTTGGTTAGGCAGTAATTTTAAAAGACCTTGTTCCAATGTGCGAGGATCAGCGTCCTGGCATTTTGAGCCTTGCCCTGTGGACCAGGGCTGCATCGCAGGAGCACTTGGAACCAGGTTTGTGTATCGTGTTCAGGTAGTAATAAGTACTTATTCTTACACGAATGAATTTTTTTATGGACTCATTCTCCGGGCAAGTGGCAGGTGAGAGACTAAGTTTTAAAACATGGTAGCTCTGTTTAGTCATTTTTATCCTTTTGTTCAAACCTCAACTCTAAAAAAGTGTGAGTTTTTTAATGTTTTCGGTGAGTTTTTTCCCAGTTAACGTGTGTCTGTATCTTCAAATGCAGCATTCCAAAATATGCCCGGTGCTATCCGCCCAGCCGCTCCTAGACCACCATTTAGTACTATGAGACCAGCTTCTTCACAGGTTCCACGAGTCATGTCCACACAGCGTGTTGGTAAGTCGGAACACTTCCTGTAAAAATGGATTTCTGCTTTGAAAGCACGGTCAAAGTGCAGACCCGCATGTTCATTTTTTAGCTAACACGTCAACACAGACGATGGGTCCACGTCCTGCAGCTGCTGCCGCTGCAGCCACTCCTGCGGTCCGCACCGTTCCACAGTATAAGTACGCCGCCGGGGTCCGCAATCCGCAGCAGCATCTGAATGCACAGCCGCAAGTTACCATGCAGCAGGTGGGTCTTCGAGTTCTTCCCGAGAGGACGGGCCTTGGTTGCAGTTAAAGAAATATGACAGCTGGATCATGAGAGCTTGAGGTGTCCAGAATGTCTTGTTAATTGGTGTCCCGTTAATTGGCCGTGTGAAAAAACGCCTTATTTGCCCTATACTGTGGGAGTTAGACAAGCATTCAGCATCCCTTATCCTGACCCGCTTGTGTGGTTTGAGAGCTTTGTTAGGCATAGTCCTAAGGGAGAAAAGGCGAAATAAAGATTGGTCTGTGAGATTTGGCTCACCCCCTTTTTTCGACCCTGAGACAAAAATTGTCAACTGTCATTGAGTGTAACAGAAACAGAGCTCAAAAGAATATTCCAGGTAGAGAAGGAAGTATCCTGTGTGGTTATAATACTTGGGCTGTATTGCTGATTCACTCAGCCTCTCCTATTCATGTTTAGAATGCAGTCTTCATCATCTTGGGAGTTTCTGGTGATCAGTGTTTTTATGTGCCATCACTTCTGTACTTTAAAGTTCGGAATTTTCCTGTTTTTCTAGCCTGCTGTCCATGTACAAGGTCAGGAGCCTTTGACTGCTTCCATGTTGGCATCTGCCCCTCCTCAAGAGCAAAAGCAAATGTTGGGTAAGTGCCTTTGTCCCACTTAGTCAGTGACAGAAAGACTGGCCAGAAAAGAGGAGGGAGATACTCAGAGCCCTGCTTTGCACCTAAAAATGGCAGTGAAGGTGGTGGGATTGGTTTGACTTGGTGTGTCTACCAAACTTCTTGATAGCTTTCCAGGCTTTTAATTAAGTATTTTGCTTTTGATGAATAGGATAATAGGGTGCTACTTGCCATGGATCCCATGACATTTTGGGAACAGGGAATTTGAACTATATGGAAAAAAAACTGAGCACACATTTAACAACTTAATTGCCTTGGGGTAGAGCTTGATCTGTTTGATAACAGTATCAAAATGGTGGATTTGGGGTTAGCATTTATTTGCTGTATCCAAAAGTAAGGTTCTTCAACCCAGTTTTAATATTGGCAGATGGCTTTATTCTTCTGATGAAAGGAATTTATGTTTTTGTTCCTAGGTGAGCGGCTCTTTCCTCTAATTCAAGCCATGCACCCTACTCTTGCTGGTAAAATCACTGGCATGTTGTTGGAGATTGATAATTCAGAACTTCTTCATATGCTTGAGTCTCCAGAGTCTCTCCGTTCTAAAGTAATTTAAATTCATCATTTATCTAGCAGCTTCTTATACAGTGTATTCTAGGGCTTTTTATAGAAACTTGAACATTAATAATAAGTGCTTTATACAAGCCACGCATAGTTCTAAGTTTTATTACAAATGTAAATCCTGATAACCACCCGTGGTTCCGTCATCCCCATTTTTACTGTACATGGGGAAACAGTTTGGAAACTCTGCCCTTTGTTCACACAGCTAGTCCATGGCAGAGCTTGGTTTCACATCCAGCATCCATGCTCTCTTGGCTGTGCTGTTTTCTTAGTGAAGAAAGACATGTTTGCCAATGTTTCTCAACTTTGGGGGAGTTTTGGTGAGGAGAGCGTGAGAAGCGCAAGAGGGTTCATGATTCCAGGACGGTGGTGGATTGTAACCCCACAGGATACGGATACAGTTGAAATGTGTTCTGGAAAGCAGTTCCTTCCACTTTCCTCTGAGGAAGAGTTTGGTTTGCCTTTGGACATTTACATGTTGTGAATTGGAACTTCTTCCAGTGACTCCTTCACAGAGCCAATTTGTTCTTTAGGTTGATGAAGCTGTAGCCGTACTACAAGCCCACCAAGCGAAAGAGGCTGCCCAGAAAGCAGTTAACAGTGCCACTGGTGTTCCAACTGTTTAAAGTGAGCATTACTCCCTGGGGAGTTTCATACTGATTTCCTTATCTCTTACCAGTTTGAGTAGGTTTTGAAAAGTCGCAAAAATTTGTTTTTACCAGTATTCCAAACCTATTGCTGACTTTTTAAAGAGAAGTAGAAATAGAAACTAAAGGAGATTTTAGTTTACTTGTTAGCCTGGTATTGACTTGAATTTTTTCAAACACTCTCAGACATTGTGTATTTGAATTACTGATTGAATGGGCTGGGCTTTCTGTGTACTTCCTCGCAGAGGACTTTTCATAGCTTACATCTTTTCTTGAGTTGCAGCAAGGACAGTTGCCCCCGGCCTCTACTAGTGCCCTTCTTTACTTTAAGAAACAGGGTGATGTAGCTGTGTAGCCCAGACCGGAGATTGACAGGACGTTTTCCTGTAAAGGACCAGAAAGGAAGGAAATATTTTAGGCCTTGTGGGCCGTGTTGTCTGTTGCAGTTACTCTGTTACAGTGTTAATGTGAAAGAGCTCCTAGACCTGATGTAAACAGATAGTTGCAGCTGTGTTCCAATAAGACTTTACAGAAACAGGCTGCACACTGAAGTTGGCCATGGGCTTTCAATTTGCTGTTGACAGGTACCAGTATTGGTTATCTTCTTTTGTTGCTGGTATTTGCCATTCGCATGCTGTGTACTTGAAATTTGCACAGCGCTACATTTGGTACATTTGCATACTGGAATATAATCGCAATAACTAGCAGCTATTATCACTTTATAAGGATTGTTTACTTTTATTTTAGCAACTGGAATCATTAAATACTAGCTTGGCAAGTCTGATGATCATAATTTTTTTTTCCCTGCATTCACAGATTGATCAGGGACCACGAAAAGAAACTCGTGCTTCACCGAAGAAAAATATCTAAACATCGAAAAACTTAAACATTATGGAAAAAAAACATTGCAAAATAGAAAATAAATAAAAAAAGGAAAGGAAACTTTGAACCTTATGTACCGAGCAAATGCCAGGTCTAGCAAACATAATGCTAGTCCTAGATTACTTATTGATTTAAAAACAACAACAAAAAAAAAAACACAAAAAAATAGTAAAATATAAAAACAAATTAATGTTTTATAGACCCTGGGAAAAAGAATTTTCAGCAAAGTACAAAAATTTAAAGCATTCCTTTCTTTAATTTTGTAATTCTTTACTGTGGAATAGCTCAGAATGTCACTTCTGTTTTAAATAACAGAATTGATAACTGAGCAAGGAAACGTAATTTGGATTATAAAATTCTTGCTTTAATAAAAATTCCTTAAACAGTGCACAGTGGTGTTATGCTATTTTATTTCTTTGTAATTGGCTTGCGCAAATAGGTGATAAGCTGGGATTGACAGAAGAACCTCTTCCGTGAACCTCTTAACCCATGCTGTTAAGTTCAAGGGTATCCTAGTTTTACGAGAAAGAGCCAGAAGAATATCCCTAATGTGTTTTTACGTTTCCATGTGAATTCTTGAGCCAACGTATGTCTGTCATTAAATGAACATTTTTTGAGATGATGCCAGTTTATGACTAGTAAGGTGTCTAAGCTGGAAAGATAATTAGCTTAAACCCTCATTTATATGGTGTAAAACAGCAACAGCAGTGACAAAGTGAGGGTAACTTTGTTAAGTTGCTGATGGTGACTTCATGCCTTAGACTCTTGTCACCTAAAGTACTTGTGGAAAATCAGTATTTGGGGGTTCTACCTCTGGGGGATGGGTTTAGAAGATGGGGGCCAGGACCCCGGGTCAACCTGCATAAAAAAAAGACCCTGGCAGTTTAAATACACTTTTGAGAATGGTATAGTTTTAATCTCTGTTCCATTCTCTACACATACTTCTGCCAAAGTTCGCTTTCTAAGTTGCACATCTGACGATCTGAATCTCAACACCAGCTCTTTAGGAGCAAATAAATGAATCCAAATAAAAACCATGGTTACGACAGTGTCTTTTGCATGATGAAGCTTTGAAGGCTTTTCACCTCAGCTGCTTTTGAAACTCGATACACACATTAACCCCTGCCTACTCCCATGGCTTAAATACACCCAGTAGGCATTCTCCTTATTCTATTTTGCCTGACCATACACTTACCTCTAAGAGGCTGGATAGTTCATTTAGATTCCGAGTTGCCACGAAAGCTGTTCTCAAAGCTTTAGGAAGAGAGAAATACATACCTTTGTTAAATTTGAATACAGAATGGTCAAGTTTTGAGATTTAAAAGAGCAGACTTTAGAGACACCTTAGAAGTTGTATCTATAAAAATCTCACACTTCCCATTCCAAAATCTAAAGTAGCAGATATTTGCATAGACCGTAGCTTGCTTTCTATATTGCGTAGTTGGAATTTCTTGTGTGATAAGATATCCCCGTCTGTTTTTGAAAGGTCTCAGATGTCCTGACTGGAGACAGAAACCAACAAAAGTGTAGACATTTTTGATCTGCTTGTAGGAATTAGGAAAAAATAATAGTTGATTATTCTGTTAGGTATTTATTTGCAAATATGTACTAACGGTTACTTGTAGCCCAAAAAATCAACTCCTGTGCTTTCAGTCATTTGCCGACATGGCCATGAAAATTCTTTGAGTTATCTGAAACATATTCCCAGCTGAGGTTGAGTAAGCCTTCTAACTTTTTATCAACTTTCATACCATAGACAGGTCTGCTTTTTGAGGTCTATTTAGTGCCCGGTTACTGACACTTCTGTGCTCATTGGTGATTTTGCTATTTAAATGGCCCCTAAGCATAGTGGTGAGGTGCTGTCTGGTGTCCTTAAGTACAGGAAGGTAGGTAAGCTCTATGAGTTACAGAGCCATTCGCTGTGAGTTCAAGGTTAACTATATAGTGAATGAAGTGTCTTAAAGCAGGAACACATAACAAGGATCTATTGATTGTTGAAAATGCGGCCGGCTTACAGGTGCCTATCTCCCCTAGGAGCACTGATTCAGTATTTGCTAATACACTGTTAGTGACACTTTATAGAACCTCCTAACTGCCACAATTAACGAAGGTTAGTTGCATCTGACAAAGGTATAGCTTATAATTGACAATAGTCTATTTTAAAGGACCTACTTTCATGTAGGATTTGAAGTGAAGCAGAAGAAGATGGCTGACTGCTGTATGGCTTTCTAAGACGTGTGGCTGCTGCTTTGGAAATTTTAAGACCAATTGATACGTGACATTTTTCTGTGGATACTTCGATGTACAATTTAGGCTTCTTTGAAAACTTTTTAGCCTGCAATCCTTTCCTTTTCTCCATCTCCCCATGAATTATATGTTTATGATCTAGAATGAGGTAACGAATTGTATGCTAAGACTTGCATGGGTAAATAAGCTAGAGTGATGGATCTTGTTTTTACAGTTCATCATCTGTGATTGTAACTCCTTCCTTCCCACCAAACTGATGGAGCCCAAGGGAGTGACGTGGAGACTACTTTGAAATTTTCTTAGTCTTTTGATATAAAACCATGGTCCCAGATTATTTGTTTGCTGTGAGCCAATGACTTTGAAGAAGACCTGGTTACTTGGGTTTAATGAGTACATTCTCCCTATTGAACAGTTCTTGTCCAACGAGGTGAATCAGAAGTTTGGTTCAAGTTGAAGCAAAACGGGTGGAGCTAGATTAATACCCTGGCCAGTACAATCAAGCCAGAATAGTCGCGGGCCCACTGCTGTTCTAGGAGACCAAAGGGTCACGAGGACATCCTGGAGTTTCTTGTTCAGGATAGCCACACCTTTGGACAATGCCAAAGCCATACCGAATTTCTCTTTTCCTAGCCTTCATACAGACTCTTCTGTAAATATAACCTATCTTCAGTTAGACAATCTAATTGGTTAGATTTAAGGGTTCTTAGTTACCATTTTGATAAATTTCCGATGTCGCTGAGTCTTTACATCCGCCTAGTTGCAAGTGTTAAGTATATACATGGCAGAAATAGAGTAGCCCAATTTCACATTTTAGGTGTTAGCTTTTTATCCATCACAATCATGGCAAATTTGTGGGGTGGGGAGATTGTCTTATCCACAAAGGTAGAAAAACACAATTAACTTTGTTACGGGCATTATTCCCAGAAAACTTGAAACAACATGGTATATTTATTAGCCTAAACTAACATTCTTTCTAGAGACAAAAAGGTCTTTGCATTAGAAAGCCAGATTTTGTATTTTGGGGGACAATCCCACAAATTACGTAATGACTGTTGATAGGTATATATGAGCAGATGGGTTTATGGTTGATAATGGGTTGTTTTTTTTTTTTCGGTGTACCCCCCCCACCAAGTAAAAAGTAATTGGATAAGTATAGAATATAGAATGAGTTGAAGATAAATTGTATGCTAAAACACATGTCCTTTCAATTTTTAAACTTGAGAGTCATATTTTTTAGAATTAAAGTTGGTGACTTATTTACATTACCAACCGTGTTGCCCTGATAATTCGGTGATGCCATAATTATGCTTGACAATGAAAATGGTGAACTAATACTGAGGAATGGCATTCATGCACTAAGAGGTATAGTAGTGTGATTCTTAAAGGCAGGGGCATGAGAAATCAGAGAATCTTTTTTTTTTTTTTTAACAATGAAAGATGCCTGCCTTTGAATCAGTAATTATAACTGCTAATATTGAACATGTACAGCGTGTTTATCAAGTGAATTCTTTACGCGCACTATCGATTCTTATAACCACCCTGTGGGATTGGTTCAGTAATATGTTCCCATCTTACAGTAGAGGAAACTGAAGCTTCAACAAGTTTAATGACTTGCCCAGAAGTACATAGTAAGTGGTGGTGAAGCTGGAATTTGAATCCAGACCCACAGGCTCTACATAGTTCATGCTGCCTATAAACTACAAAAAAAGTGAAGTTCCAAAAAATCAGGTACTTGGGGTTACTACCTTCAGCCTAGGGGGTGAGAGGTGGGATGACACAGGTCTATCAAAGCACATGCTAAGAAGCCAAAGCATAGAAACTGCTTTTCTCTTACCATTTTAGGGCAGAAAAAAAAAACCCAAAAAAGCAAAACTAAGGAAAGAGTCATTATTTAGAAGAAAAAGGTCTTTAAAACAAGGCTGAGCTTAAAATTCTAAATCAGAATATTTTCCTTCTGAGCATCTTGAACTGCCTGGGAATATCAAACATTCCCTTTAGCAACCCTGTGATCGTTTTTCTGAGCTTGTTCATGTGTCCATTCTAGGTTCTCTTGGAATTGGTAAATGGATTTAATCAAAACCTTTTAATTATCATGAGTTTTTATAAAACGTGTGAAATTAACCTTCTGACTCCTGTATTGCATTTCTGTGCCAATTAGGAAGGTATCAACATTTTCTCAACAGTTACTAAGAAATGCATTTGATATAATGCCAAGTGCTGCTGCTAAAGAAGAAATTTCCAGCAAATTAGGTATGTTTTAAGTAACACATACCGCTAGTAAGTGGCAAAGCCAAATCTCGAACTCTAGGAGCTGAGTCTGTGCAATTAGCTTTTACTTTAATTTGGCTTTTATTTCTCTTGCTAATCCTATATCCGGAAAAAGTTCAACACATAGGAATTCTGTGTATTTTCCTTATCAATATATTAATAGATAATAACTTTTTAAAGACAGAATTTTTTTCCTCTTGTCATTTAAACTTAGCTTTTGTCTGGTCTCAGGGGTGAGCAAAGTGACATCAGAATCATGGCAATGTTAAGTCATTACTCTTTTCTCTCCCCTTTTAGGACAACTAGACATCCATAACTTAGCAAAAGTGTCTCCGCAGGTTTCCTTAAGGGACACGCAAGCCCACCTGTGCACCCAAAAATAAACAGGTCCTTAGTAAGGGCTACAGATGCAAGTGATTTGGTGAACCTCCTCCATCTTCCACGATGAGGCATAAAAAGCCTGGAGAATGCAAAACTGAGCAGATCCCAACTGACCCAACTCCTGGGAAGTCCAGTCTGCCGGAGGGGAAATGTCAGCATGCCACCTGAACCTGAACGGGACAAAGTTTGGATACAGAGAAGAGGGAGGAACTCACCAGGGCAGCCCCCGCCTCCACGGGGTGACACCGCAAGGGGCTGGGCTTTCAGCAACCTCTGCGGCAGAGGAGATGGAAAGTCAAAGTGGTGAGTGAATGCCTGGCTACCTCCGTTGTGCGAGAAAACCCAGTTTCTCTCCCAGCGGCACCCAGATTTCTGAGGAAGGACTTCCACAACTTGGGTGGGTGGCTGGGAGGAAGCGAAAAGGGAAGGAGGCAGATAAGAATATCAAAGGGCATTAACATTATCTGGTGTTTTGTCAGGACTTCGGCAGGA